TTCTTGCCCTTTAATCAGACTTTGTGGATTTCTCGCCATAATACAGTGTCCCAGCTTCTTTGATGAGCACTGTGAGCATGGCCATGTCTGCCTTCTTGTGGGTCAAGAGCCTGTGTATCATCAGGGTCCCATTCACTGGAGCAAACACATGGTGGAGGACCATCTTCTGCATGTCAGCTCTTCTTCTTTTAATTCAGTATATTCTGATGATGGCTTCTTGTCTCAGATCCCCTCCTACCCACCCCACACTGTCCCATCTACCCAAATCCATACCCTTTCTTTTTCTCATTAGGATACAAATAGGCAACTAAAAAATAACAATATTAATAAAACAAAATTAGATCAAAAAACCAGATTAGGACCAATCAAACAGAAGAAGAAAGAGCCAAAGGAAAAGCTCAACTAACACATTTAGACCCAAAGATACACAGAAATCCCATTAAAACACAGAATCAGAAACCATAATAGATACTCAAAGGACCTGTAAGGGAATGGGGGAGCCCTGTCCAAACAGTAAAAGACAAAGAACCTCCAAAAATGCCATTGAGTTCATTTTGTGTTGGCCATCTGCAGCTGGGCATGGGGCCTGACCTTAAGAGTGGTTTGTCTACCTGGTGAGACTCCATTAAAGAAGACTAATTTTTCATTTGTGAGCCATTATCAATTGGGATAGCATCTGGGTTAGGGATAAGGGCTTGTGTCTCAATTTCCCCTCTCAGTGCTGGGACCATATCTGGCTTAGACCTGTGCAGGCCATGTGGGTTGCTGCCACAGTCTCTATGAGTTCAAATGTGCATTGGGCCTGCTGTGTTGAGACGGTCTTGTTTCGTTGGCATCTTCCATAACCTGTGGCTCTTACAATCTTTCTGTCTCCTCTTCTGCAAGATTCCTTGAACCCTGCGGGGAGGGATTTGTTGGAGACATCCCTTTTAGGACTGAGTGTTCCAAGGTCTCTCATTCTCTGCACATTGTCCAGCTGTGGGTCTCTGTATTTGCTCCCGTCTACTGCAGACAGAAACTTCTCTGAAGATAGTAAAGCAAAGTGCTGATCTTTGAGTGTTGCAGAATGTCATCAGGAGTCATTTTATTGCTACATTCCTTGAGTGGAACATTAGTATTTGGGTTTTCCCCTAGGTCCCAGGTATATTCGGTCTCAGGTTCTTGGCTACCTGAGCAGTATCAGGGATGGGTTCCATCTCATAAAGTGGGCTTTAAATCAAATTAGATATTGGATGGTTACTCCTACAGATTTTATGCCATTATTACACTAGCTCATCTTGCGGGCAGGTCACCATTGTAGACTGAAAAGCTTGTAGCTGGGTTGGCATTTGCCTTTTTCCTCTGGTAGTGTGCAGAGTACCTTCCAATACTATGAGGTGAATGCTCTAGGTAGTGTGCCAGCTCTTCTTACGACTTCCTTCCTTCATTCCTATGTTCCTTCCTTCCTTTCTTCCTTTGTGTGTGTGTGTGTGTGTGTGTGTGTGTGTGTGTGTGTGTGTGTGTTTGAAAGAGAGAGAGAGAAAGAGAGAGAGAGAGATTTTCTCTGTCTGGCCTGGAGTCAAGAATTCACTACATAAAGTAGGCTGGCCTTGAACTTGGAGTGATTCTCCTGTCTTTGCTCTCAAGTACCAAGGTTCCTGGTATGTATACCACCACACTTGCTCTTTATTTTTCTGATGACCTTTACCACCATTGGCAACCATGTCCCCTTGTGTTACTGATGGAAAACTGAGGCCAGAGGAGTCAAGTCACTTGTCTCAAACTTGAGTGTGAGAGAGGAAACCAAATACAAGAGTGAAATTACAGCAGTTGTGGTTCAGTGTCAGTGTTGGGTGGGTTCATTTGTTTTTCAGAACATGAATTGGGTATCTATATTTAAAATATCAAAAGAGCATTTCTTAGCAGTAGTCAGAGGCCCAACATCGCACCATGAGCACTGGGTTCAATCACTTGCTGGGAAAAAAAGGAAGTAGGGATTTTAGGGGGAGCAGGAATGACATCCACTAGAAGCTTTTGGGCAAAGTAATAGAGAATGAAAATAAAAGGGAATTAGAAGGGGCTGCAGAGGTGATTCATTAGTAAAGGCACTGGCTGCTCTTCCAGAGATCCCAGGTTAGATTCACAGCATCCACATGGTGGCTCACAACCATCTCTAACTCCTGATGCAGGAGATCTGATGTCTTCTTCTGACATCCTTGGGTACTAGGTGTGCAAGTGGTCCACAGATGTACGCGCAGGTTTAAAAAAAAAAACCTATGCATACAAAATAAAGCAAAATAAAATGAAGTATGTTTAGACTTGCAAAAATATCTTTGCAAAAGATTAGTGTTGTATATTTTCTGAGATGGAAGAATCTTTGATCTTGATGCTTAAAATGAAAGAATACAAGAATATAAGGACATTTCTTTGGCTCCAAAAGGTAATGCTGCCTGTGAGTTATGAGCACAGGACTACGCTTCATTAGCATATTCATATCTGCAAGGAGGATTCAGTGAAATCTCTATGCTCTTCCATGTAGTGAAATGCCAAGCTGGCTAATAGAAATGCAGAGAGACAGAGCCAGGCTACGTGAGTGGGCAGAAGGATGGCAGATGGGCTCCTGCGTGGACAACTGGAAGATAAGGAACTTAGGGAGAAATAATCCAAACCATTCTCCCTAGACTAAAGGGATTTGAACTACCCGCTACAGCAAAATTAAAAGATTTTACGGTCAATATGCACCTTTGTCTCGTGTATATATTTATATTCTCACTGCATCTAAGAGATCAGCCTTCCATCAGGCGAACTGAAAATGAGCATCTACAAGAGGTCATTAAATGCAGAAAACAGCATCCTGCTCCAACTGATAGCCATGGTTCGCTTAGCCCCGGAATATTCTGAGCTGTGTTTTTTCGACCTTCTTAAGCCATGGTAATAAAGTGGGAGAGTGCCCAGGTGAAATCACAGATAGCAGAGAGGAGCTGTTTATCAAATCACACTTGCAAACGTTAGGATTCCTCAGCCCAGAGGAAAATCAGGGCTTATAAAACGACAGGGCTGTGGGGCAGGTCAACTTGATTAGCATTGACCATGTAAAAGGGATAAGACATGGAGCTCTTGAAAACTTAAATTAGGGCCTGGCTAGACAGCTCGGAGAGTAACCGTGCTTGCTGCCAAGTCTTACAGCCCGAGTTCAATCCCCTGGAACCTCATGGCAGAAGGAGAAGATTGACTCTGCCAAGTTGTCCTCTGACCTTGACATGTGTAGCGTGGCACTCGTGTGCCCATGGACACGCATATGAAATAATAAGTAAATGTTTAAAAAAAAAAAACCTTAAACCTAAATCAATTTAGGCAAAGCAACCAATAGGTAGCAAGTAAGCAAAATTCAAGGTAGCATAATATATATATTTTATATATGTGTGTATTATATGTGTTCTATATAGTTGAAATTAATTATATGTTATATAAATATAAAATATTATATATACTATATTAAGATTATAATATAAATTTGTATAGATTTATATAGATGTTTTATATATATATATATCAGCATATACATGTTATGTAAATTTCAGCTCCTCTTCTGTAAAACTTGATAGGAATGGAAAAATAGTTTTTATAGCTAGAAACTTGGTATGTGTCAAGAGCTATTACATCCAGGGGCACACATAGACACAAAAGGGGGAAAATATCTTATGATTGTATTCATAATTTATTGTTTTAAAAAGTGGCATTTGGAGGTATGCCCAAAGCCTCACAGCATTCACCTTTTGTGTAAAACTGGCTTAACAATCAGACAAGCCTGATTCAGATCCCACAGTCTTCACACGAGGGCTCTTGGGTAAGTAACTTAACTTCTCGGAACCACAGTTCATCTGTAAGTCGAGAAGCCCTTCCAGATAGGGGTGCTGGGGAGACAGAGGGCAGTGGCTGTCAGTCACTCCAGGACTGGACGGGGGACCCAGGCTGCCTTTTTATATCTCCTCCACAGATGCAGCACCACCTCTGAAAGCCCTGTCCTGGAACACCCAGTCTACCCCAAGCGGGCAGCACTAGCAACCATTCACACCCTAACCTGCCTCCTTTAATCCCCATTCACACCCATTCCTTCTGGTTCATGGAGCCCCACTCCCAGCCCCCTCCCCGCCTTGTTTCGCGGCTTGCTTTGGGCATTGCAGAAGTAACAGTGATAAACAAATCCCGGGGCCCTGCTCTTAGGGGGACCAAGTGGGAAGGGCTGGTGCAGAAACACAAGCATTCCGACAAAGTCATTGCAAAGAATGGTTTAGGAAAAAAACAAACAAACAAACACATGGTAGAGTCTATGGGACTGTGGTACGGCGTTTTCAGTGAAGAGGTTGGAGCAATTCTTCCTCAGGAGACAGCATTTGAGTAACAGCGTGGACAGAAGTGTGGTTACCTGAAAGTCTCCAGGCAACTGTTCCACAGGTGCCGGAGCGGAGAGAGAGGAGGTGGAGGGAGGTATGGGGGAGTGTAGAGGCCCCCAGGTGAGGATGTGTGTGTGTGTGTGTGTGTGTGTGTGTGTGTGTGTGTGTGTGTGTGTGTGTGTGTTCAGGCATCCAGGCGTAGTCATTCAGGCCTATATGACCGAGAATTCTGTGTGGAGGGGAGAAAACAAGGTTACGGATAGAGAGGGACAGACTGCGCCAGACTCTTTGCCATGAGGCTTGGAGGGAACTTAACCTTTCTTCTAAAAGCGTTAGGAATCCAGGGAGTTTTCAGCGCGTCGTTGCTAAGAGCCGGTGTATGTTTCAGGGGGTCTCATAGCCAATGTGCAGAGTGAGACCAGGGCCCCCCTCTGCTTTCTTTCTGGTTGTTAGCTCCCTCGAACTCCTCTAGACCGAAGCGTGCCCCTGATTTCGTACCCAGTCTCTCACAGGGCAGGGCTGATGTTGCGTAAACCTCTTTGTACTGTTCGTGTTGTAGGACATCTATTACAAAATATGTTTTCCCCCCTCAGATAAAATAGTTAACCCAAATACATGTTGTTTCAGGTTTTAAAAATCAGTTTGATTGGCCACAGGAAACGCATTTTGGCATCTCTGGGAGACAGGCTGCACGAGGACCCTCCACAGAAGCCCCCTCGGTCCATCACCCTCAGGGTAAGTGCCGCCACGGCCATTTTGCTCTCTACCCTTCTCAAAAAGTATGTTGCGCCATCTGATGACCGAAGTTGTGGAAGTGGAAGTACAGGCTATTTTCCTCATTGCTTGCCTTATCTGTATAGAAAACAGTCTCTCTCTTGATTGGTTGGTTTTCCCAATATGTAGTTCAGAGACCTAGAAATACACTCTAAGGGAATTCAGTGTGACCAGCCACCACCTTTGAAAGACTGCCTCCTCATCCCCAGTCTCTCCCTCCCAAGAGAAAGGAAATGAACTTTCTGTCAGACTCTTCAAACCCACAGAAACAAAATCGATCAGGGACCACAGCTAAGTACAGATCGATTTAAAATTAACCTCAGGGTCCTTCTGTTTTTGTTTTTGTTTTTTTCAAGAAATGAAAAATGACCGTTTTTACCCACTTCAAAAAATTAAAGACTATAGACTCTAAAATGTTATGAAGTCAGCTAGCAAGTGTTTCCTTCAGCTATATTTTTATAAACATGGGGTAGAAAAACTAGAGAGAAATCGTAGGAGGTAAAAACAAAAAAGAAAAGTGAGAAGGGAGGGGCCAAAAGAAATCAAGAGGTGATCGTCTCTGGCAAGATGTTTGTAAAAAGAGTATAGCCATAGGCCCCGCCTTCACGAAGCCCACGTGATCTCTTCAGAAGTCCGTTAGAAAGCCACGTCTCCCTGACAAGCTCAGTTCTCGGTTTAGTCCTGCACTCGCTTGTGTCTTATTCCCCTCTCAAATGCCAGGAAAGGGAGCCATAAATGGTGAGCACCAGCATAGGCCTCCCTGCACATGCTCCTGGGGAAATAAATGGCCCTGATAGGTGACAGTCGGCGAACTGCAGGCCACAGTCAGGGTGGTAGTGGGGGGGGGGGGCTGGACAGGACAGACACTTCTAGACTGATGAATCGGACTCAGCTCGGAAGAGGAAAATAGAGTCCGTGAGATGCTCCTTCCAGAAGCCAAGAGGACCTGAGGACCAGGGGCATCAGTATAGGCTAAGCTATCTGTAGGCTACTTCAGGGTTTGGGGAATAAGGAGAGCAGAGATAAGGCTCATTTCTATCCCTCCCTAAGAGGCCTCCAATACATTAGAAAAATTAAGCTAGAAAGGGCTTATTATCTTGTCTCCCTCTACTTCATGGAAAGAGGGAAAGCTCCGAGCACCATCCATGTAAATGCACTGAGAGATCTCTTCAGAGGAGCCATTTCCGGTTTACACAGCTCCCCGGCCTTTCCCTTCTGAGCCGCTCACCCTGACTCCCAAGAAAAGACTTACGGAGATAATAATTAAAGACTGGGTGGGTGGGGGAAGGGGATCCTAGCAAAAGTGGGTCCGACTCTGTCAAAGGAAGTCAGGGGAAGAAGTGGCCTGCAGAATCTCATGATTCCAGCCCTCCAGAGTGCAGCCACTGTGTCCTGCCCCTTCCGGCCGGTCTGCAGCTAGAGTTGTCTTTGCTGTTGGAAAAAGCATCCTCTGTCAGTATACGCATTGCTCCGCAGTCTGTACGTCGCGTGACATGCTGTGTTGCCATACTGTGTCCACTTCCCAGGCCTGTGTCCCATCACACTTTGGTAGAGGGAGGATCAAGGACCCATCTCAATGTCCCGCGTTAGTTTCTTGTCACGGCATCCACCGCAGTGAGGATGCGCTGCCCATGGTCCCATCCCCGGTAAACACACGATAGTGTTGGGGGTGCCCCACTGAGATGAACCTCCTTCCTAAGATCATCCAAAGTACTGGATTAGAAAATAAAACAACAACAGTGTGATTCTTTATACTTTAAACCTTTGGCGTGTAACCAGTGGGAGGCAGGAGTATTGGCTTCACCACACCATTCACAGAATTAACAGTGGCATGTTGGCCATCCCAGCAGGTGAATGAAAGCTACTCCCACCCCCTGTAGAATTAACAATGGCTTGTTGGCCATCCCAGCAGGTGAATGAAAGCTACTCCCACCCCACCCCCCAACCCCCTATGGCATGCTGTGTTTGTATTTCACAATTTTTTTTTTTTGAAACCAAAGGCTAGCCACGAGAGCATGGTATTTATTTCATGATGTATTTCCATTCAGGAACCCAGTGGTAATCACACTCCTCCTCAGTTGTCTCCATCACTTAGCCAAAGCACTTACACCACTGGTGGCTCCCTAGACGTTCCTCACATTATCATGCAGGGCGATGCAAGGAGGAGAAGAAATGAGAACTACTTTGATGATATCCCCCGATCCAAGCTGGAGAGGCAGATGGCTCAGGTAAGGTGTTCGCAGCCTCTGTGATGTGTTTGCCTTTCACCCGCGGCAGGGAATGCATTCAAATACTGGGCAGTAGCTCACGACGGGTGCCTACTACCCACGCCTAAGTTGACCTTGACCATTTCTATAAAGTGTTGCTGCTGCATCCTGTGCTCTCTTGAACTAGCTTGAACCAGCCCCCTCTAGGAGATGGAGAGATCTCTATATATATCATTGAACCCCACTCTCAGGGAATTAGTTGTAACTAGCTGGTCTCAGTGCTCTCACAAAGTCTTTGTGGAAAAGGAATATAATTGAGTCAGAATCAAGTCACAACAAAAGGAATAATAAGCTCTAGGTTTTAAATGTGGATGGCGGAGCAGAAGTTTTGGGGGAAAGAAATAGCTTCATGTGAGGTCATTTCCTCCCAAGCTCACGTGTTTATAGAGAACCCCCCTCGTGGGAGTAGCTGCAGCATCTCACACTGTCTCCTTCGACAGTTAGAAATAACAATGCTGCCTGATGCAGATGTTTGGAAAGAGAGCTCTGTTGGCCAGCCCTTCCCTCCTTGGTACAAAATGTTCACTCTCCTGTGTCCCTGGATCTCTGTTCAGAAACTCGAGTCAGTCCTAACTAGACGGTGACACACATCCGTGTCAGATGGGCAGCTCTTTCTGCAACTTTGCCCCCCCCACACACACACACCCACCTTCCGGAGCTAAGGATGTATGGACAGCCATGGGCAGAATCAGCTCTTCACTTTGTCGTTGAAGGCTGAGCTCCAAGTTCTGAGAGCCTGCCTTCTGCCTCCCACACATTAGCTGAGAACTCAGAGGTGAAAATTTGACTATGATTGTTTTGGCTCGGTTGTTAATTTTTTTTTCTCAACTGTTTAGTGAGATTGTGTTTTTGAGAGTCTTTGGTAGACACTCTGTGTTTTAACTCAAGGAAGAAATATGTGAAGGGAATGTTCTAGAAAGCAGGACTACACCATGCCTTGGTGAGAGAGGGCCTGCCATGCTCTCTCCCAATACCCAATTGTTCTCAGGAATGGCGGTGTCGGGACTTACAGATTTTGTTAAATAGGATGGAATATGGGAGAAAGGAGAAAAGGATCATTTTTCCTGTTCTCTGTGGTTGGGTATTGTCTGTAAATCTGCTGCTGTTTCAACGGAAGCTCTTTGAAATAGGGAGGATGGGAACTTCCACCTCAAGCCACTCTTTTGTGTCCCGCTCTTGGTATCTGTGGGACACGTGTGGTTCAATTTACCTAATGGAAACATTTCAGAGACATGGTTTTCAACCTTGAACCACATGGCCTTTATACAGTCATTAAAATTCAGTCGTTTCTGAAACCTTGTCTTCCCGGGTAAGACAGGATGGGTCTTTAATGAGCATTAACTATTATTGATGGAGGCACCTTCAGTAACCAAAAATTACCTGCCTCCGCTACTCCTATCGTTCATGAAATGTCTCCACAGAGGGCAGAGTCTTTTCAAAGAGGATTTAATTACTCTTCTGTCTATTGTCAGTACACTCAGAGTAACCCGGCAAAACCGTCCCCTTGGATTCTTCTTCAGAATCCCAAGCAGGACCAGGAATACTTTTGATAACCTGCATCCTTTTTCTTGTCACTGCTCCCTGAAATGCATCCCTTTTAGGACTTGTCTTGCCTTGAGAAAATTGAATGAGCCTTTATCTGGCCAGGTGAGGAAAGCGGAAAGCAGAGTGAGATTAGGCGGCTGATGGGCCGTGGGAGAAGGGCTGCAAGCATAGGTATTTACCTCCCGGGTCCAGCTAACAGGGATCGAATGACTGATGGAGACAGAGACACCATCGGCGGCCTGGAGCTTATTAGAAGCCGTCTAGCATCCTGCAGTTCAATATAGCACTTGTAGCTGCAGAGGAAAAAAAAAAAAAGAAGAAGATAGCGCTACCGGAATCTGATCAATAAGAAAAAGAGATCCTGGGATTGCAGTTCTCTAGGCTGTATTCATTTTAGTTTGGGAATTTGTTTTGAGAATCTGCTCGCAAGGACAAGAATCGTGGAGTAATGATTGTATGCTGCTTAAAATTGTGCCATTCCGAAACGGTAACCGTTCAAAATACACTTGGTGATTTTGTTGTTTGAACGGTGCAATTTACCTGACTCTAATTATAGTCAGGTGCTCAGCTGATGCTTTGTTTTGTTGGTTTTTTTTTTTTCTTAATCTTCCCCAGCTGGAGTTGGAGTCATTTGCTGTACAAATTTTGTACAAAATTTTAAAATCCGTTTTTTTTAAAACAGTCTAAAACACTTGCCCCAGACCGTATCTTGCCCTGAACTTGTACCTTGAGCTACTCGACTTGGGTTTCAGTGGTTGGAATTAGCAGTTAAAATCCCTATAAGAAAGCATCTTTCCAACCAGCAGTGTGGTTCCCGTGCCCCTTCCCCAAGGGTCTCTCCCAACAGGCTTACAAGAGGTGGGTTAATCCCCTCTCTAGTTTCCATAAAATATGGAAGTCCACCTTTAAACTTGCTTTCTTTACTGCTAAAAGAAGGGGGTAGAGTTAGTAGGAGATCCCCAAGACAGGTTCTCATCCTTAGGAACCCCTCTGCATCTTCTTGTTCACCTGAGCCCCTCTGTTGGGGCTCCAAGGCCAAAAACCTTCAAGTTCTAAGTGGCTGCAGTAACTCACGGGACTTTTGCCTTCTTGAAATCTGCCCAGAAGATCTACGTTGCTTCAGGAAAGAAAGAATCTGAGTTCAAAATTAAATTGAGATCAGCATAATATCCATTCCACCTATCAAACTCGTTTGTTAGTGGATATTGAAAATGTAATGCGCCGGGCGGTGGTGGCGCACGCCTTTAATCCCAGCACTCGGGAGGCAGAGGCAGGCGGATCTCTGTGAGTTCGAGGCTAGCCTGGGCTACCAAGGGAGCTCCAGGAAAGGCGCAAAGCTACACAGAGAAACCCTGTCTTGAAAAACCAAAAAAAAAAAAAAAAAAAAAAAAAAAAGAAAATGTAATGCTAGGGTAGTATTTTAATTCCCCGTTTCCAATTTAAACCAATATGAAAGATCTCTGTCTTGGGCTAGCAAGATGGTTTAGTGGGTCAGGGTACCGGCCACCAAACATGATAACCTGAGCTTCATTCCTGGAACTTACATGTGGAAAGAGACAACCAACTCAGTTCCCTCCTCTGACCTTCACATGTGTACTGTGGCATGCTGCACTCACATGCATGTACACAGGCACACGCATGCACGTGCGCGCACACACACACACACACACACACACACACACAAATACACAGGATGGGTGGATAGGTAGATAGATAGATAGATAGATAGATAGATAGATAGATAGATAGATAGATAGATAGATAGATAGATCGGTCCATCTGGAATATAGACACTTTGCAAATATTGTGGCTGCTGTTTGCTTTGACCACAATATAAATACACTACTCTGGCATCCAGCGTGAAAACCACAGTGGATTCTAACACCAATAGCACTTTGAAAAGTTAGCACAATGATGTAAGCAATTCTAGACAATGGTCTTTCTGCCATACTGAAAATGTTGTTTCCCTGGCCTGTGCTGCTAAACTGAGCTCATTAGCCCGGAAGTTACGAAATGGGTCTCCATTTCCCTACCCCTTAGAAATAAATGTCACACTCACACTTACATAACTATGCCTTCGTGTGTATGGTGCTTTTCGATTTCCCAAGGACCTTGGCATCTGCTACATCTCTTTGTAGCGTAAATAAGGTGCCTTCCACACTGCTGATGTGCATCTCATACATGGCAGAACAGTATTATGTTCTAATTCCTGTGAAGATGAGGCAATAAATGTAAATATGAGAAATACACCAGATGGAGGAAAATAGCCCCAGTATTTAGGGTCTAATTGCAACACTTGGCAGTTTTCTTGAGTGACACTGTGGAAAAGCCAATGTACTCTTGAAGTGAGCCAAGGAAGAGGCTGGATTTCTGGTGTTCAGGAGGGACAGTCTTAGACTCAGGAAGAAAAGAGCAAAGAGTCCCCACAAGCTGCAATGCAGTGGCCGTTTATAGAAAGGACTTCCCTTTGCAGAAATTCATGGGAAAAATGAAATACTGCGTATGTTTTCACAAATATAGAAACAGTAAGAGGAACACATTCCTCTGCACCAGCATCAACTTAGAGGTTACCAAGGAAAATCCACAGCATGGAATTCCTTCTGTTTTGACTGCTCTCATGGTTATGAAAAGAAAACAAAGCCCCAAAATATTGCCTGAAGCAGATATGAGCCACTCCAAAGGCCTTTTCCAAACTGTTTCTAATTCATTAGAAAGTTAATTCAGTTGAAGGCCTAATATTTCTTGATCTACGAAGAATTACTTAATATGTATGACTAGATCAATTACTTCCTCATTTGGAAGTACTTTACATGTATTAGTTCCACAGATCTCCATTCTTTTGATATTATTAAAGGGAAGGAAATGGAAACACCCATGCGGGGGCCCTGCTGCCACCGTCCCTGCTGGTCCCTGTTTTCCCTACTGGGTTTCCTGTACCCTTCTCTTACTGAATCCTCCGAACAGTCTATCTGCACTGAGGTGGGTGAGGGCTGGGCATCACAGTAAATAGGTGGCAGTTTACTATGACTCAGATCTTCTGTCAGCCTTCTTCTCCAATAGCCCCTGATGTCCAGTGCTATAAAATAGTTTGAGAACCGTTCAACAAATAGCAGTTTCCCATGTGTTGTAATCTGTATATGTAGGTACAAGTAACACAAGGAAGAAGTCACGAATAGCTTAGTGGAAACCTTATGAGTCAGCTCGTGGTTGCTATCAGGAAACCTGTTAGATAAAAAGTTGTGAGGTTTACAGAAGATAAAGTAGAGACTCTTGAGCCGGGTGGTGGTGGTGGTGGTGGTGGTGATGCACTCCTTTAATCCCAGCACTTGGGAGACAGAGGCAGGCAGATGTCTGTGAGTTCAAGGCCAGCCTGGTCTATGAGCAAGTTCCAGGACAGCCAGGGCTACACAGAGAAA